GGATTTTGGTCGTCTTTAGATTGAATTTACCTGATCCCCCTGATCCCCCCACGAGGCTCTATAATATTCTCATGATTCCCTCCTCCCTAAATGGGGGATTTTGGTCGTGTTATGACTGATTTTACCAGATCCCCCATGATGCTCTGTAATATTCTCATAATTTCCATTTCCCATTAATAATCTGTTGGCGATGACTGATCCCCCCTCCTTTCGCCTTGAAAACCATGTGACTCACTCAACCCCCCTCCTCAAATAAAAATTCTCCACCTCCCTACCCCCAGGCGATATAATGACTGGTTCCTTGGTTAGACCGGCCCATTGTGAGTTGCAAAATATAATGAAGCAAATCCTTGAAAGCGAAACTTAAAAGTCTTACCATAAGTCCTCTTTCAACGACGAAACGCTTGACTTTATCCATTGGATCATCAAGAGAAATGGACGCCACACTTCTGGATGATATTTGTTCGGAAGGCCTACGAAATAAAATGATTCCTTTATTCGACACTAAAGAGATTGCTCGGTGGTAATGGTAAAAAAATGTTTGAAGTAATAATGGAAGAATGAAGCCAAGAAAAGAGCATAAGGATAAATAATTCAGTCCATTAATTATTGGCTTGAAGACATCTTTGTGTGGGAACATAAAGTTTGGGTCCTTTTTGAGCTATGATATATGTCCATGAGGATATCTGACACAGTGTTGACGCAAATTTTAACCACAGAACTTCCGATTTATCGTCGTATTCTGTACAAAGAGAGGTGCACAGAGCTCTGTGGCAAGTTAAGCTATGCTGTAGGTTCACATGTTATAAGCGTTCAGCATGCTGTTCGGTTCAGCCACGCCAAAAGCGTTGTGTGCAGAGTTAAAATTAAGACAAAATCTTAATATTGCTCTATCGGGAGATGCATACCTTTCACTTCCTGACATGTCAGTAAGACTGATATAGGCTGAAATTAAAAAGATTCAACTGTTAACTTTCTGATTCACTGCAATAATCTGTGGGTAAATTATCATTACGTGGCGAGATTAAAGATGATCAGTCGTGAGATATTATCTCTATGGTATGAACAGTAAATCCCCTATGAATACGTAATAGAGAAAGTGGTATGGTATTAGCTGGGGGGGGGGTCAGCATTCAGATCTTAGCGGTGTAAAAGTTATTGAATATATAAAAGGAAATAAGTGAAGGTAACATTTGAAACAACACACGATTAAACAGAATAAAAGTAAAAGGAAGACAAAGTCAATACAGCAAAGAATACAGGAAAACAAAACAAAACGAAATTTAATTGAACAGTTATGACATAAACTAAACATTTGTAATCAACATACCGCTTTCCAAAGACATGATGGTAACTTTCTCCAGAACGTGTCCTTCCACAGGAAAATTCGAAAATTTTACAGATCTGTGTAAAAGGCAATATTACATTATTATTATTATTATCATTATTACTATTATTATTATTTTAAATCTTAACCGGAAAGTCATCACTAAGAGTTTGTTTTGTTATCTTGCTAATTCATAAACTTTTCTTTCTTTCTTTTCTTTTTCTTTTTCTTTTATACTAGACAACTTCAATATTTGGAACTCCTCTTGCCTCCTAAATCTGAAGAATTGCAAGACTTTTGAACATACAGATTAGAAAATGAAATTTACTGAACTTAAGTTACTTTTGTAAACAGGCACCAAGCATTGCCTTTCATTTTCCTAAGAAATCTGTACAAGGGCACAGAGCAATCTTCATTTTAAGGAAGCTTTATTTTGGTTTCGAGAGGTTATGTTGAAAAGCCAAAATATCCCAAAAAGCAAAAATGAACGAAATCTAAAAAACAGGGTTTGTTTAAATATTTTCAGGTTGCTTTAACAACGAAATTTGGGGTCAGTTACATGTCACTTTGTTTATCTAAAACACTGCGGAAGTGTTATGGAAAATCTCTTACAAACACTAATGTGGACTATCGTACGATCATAGGGTAGGCCTATATAATTTGGATATATCAAAAAATTTGAAGTGGTAAATTGGCCACTGTAACGATTACAAGAGCTGACGTTTCGAGCGTTAGCCCTTCGTCGGAGCGAATAGAGGAATTGTGGGTTGTATGTGCTTTTAAAGGCAGAGAATGGAGCTACGTTATTGGTGGGAACATGGCAACGAGAAAAACAC